TTATTTGTTTGTTTGTTTGTCTGATTTGGTACTGTAAGGAAACTGCTTTATATGGGGGGCTGTAAAATAGTATGTAGGTAGAAAACAATTTTTGTTTGCAGGCAGACTGTTAATCAGACATTTATTTAAAGACGTTAATTAATTTATTGATTTATTCATAGGTAGATTAACCACATTAATTTTAAAGTTTTAGAACAATGGCTTAACTGTGACTGAATTATGAGGTTTGATAACTCATTTTATTGTTTGTTTGTTTTTCAGATTTGTTATTGGGGGGGGGGGGGGAATTTTTTTATTAAGTTAACTATCAGGACCTCAGGGGGCACAGGGCAGGTGAAGTAGAGTTTAGTTGAATATAAAAATATAAAAAACGTCTTTTTGAATGAGGGGTCTGGTTATTTTGGGATGAAAAGTGCTGTCAGACGTGATGTCATTTATGGATGACCCCCCGAAACCCACAGTTATCTAACCAGATAACGGGTAGTCTAGTAATTTATTATAATTCTCGGTGTATTGAAATCAACATTATGCTTCTGAGCATTACACAACATTTTTACTTTTCCCACAGGCTCTACATAATCAAAATTGGATCCAATAGCAACATCATTGTTATCCTTCCGACGTACAATTACTTTAGCAGCACATTCCCTCTTCACACGGTCAAGCTAGGTACCTTGTGGTAGGACACGGGCTCTCTCACCTGGAGGTAGGACACGGGCTCTCTCATCAGGTGGTAGGACACGGGCTCTCTCACCAGTAAGACACGGGTTCTCTCACCAGGTTTGTAGGACACGGGCTCTCTCACAAGGTGGTAGGACACGGGCTCTCTCACCAGTAGGACACGGGCTCTCTCACCAGTAGGACACGGGCTCTCTCACCAGTAGGACACAGGCTCTCTCACCAGGTGGTAGGACACGGGCTCTCTCACCAGTAGGACACGGGCTCTCTCACCAGTAGGACACGGGCTCTCTCAACAGGTGGTAGGACACGGGCTCTCTCACCAGTAGGACACGGGTTCTCTCACCAGGTGGTAGGACACGGGCTCTCTCACCAGTAGGACAGGGGCTCTCTCACCAGTAGGACACGGGCTCTCTCACCAGTAGGACACAGGCTCTCTCACCAGGTGGTAGGACACGGGGTCTCTGACCAGGTGGTAGGACACAGGCTCTCTCAACAGGTGGTAGGACACGTCCTCTCTCACCAGTAAGACACGGGCTATCTCACCAATGGTAGGACACGGGCTCTTTCACCAGTTTGTAGGACACGGGCTCTTTCACCAGGTGGTAGGACAAATGATCTCTGGACAAATGATCTCAGGACAAATCGTATCAGGACAAATGATATCAGGACAAATAATCTTAGGACAAATGTTTATAATATTTAGGGTGATTTTAGTTGATTTGAACATTTTAGATTATTTATATATGTTTGTAATTGCTTGTTTTTGATCAAAATGAATATTACAACAAATAATTATTACTAATAACCATCAATTAAAAATGTTTTCTTTTCGAAAAGCTATTTTAAAAGACAAGAAAATTTCTTATTGCACTGATAAACATTTATTTTGGATTGACTGTTACACACTTTATCTACTGAAATAATTTAATAAGCAAATGCTGCTTTCAAAATTTAATAAGAAAAACATATTTCACTAAGTTTCAAGTCTGCATATCAACAACAGTAGCAGCCTTTTAATATGGCACCTGAAAGAATTCAAAATATACGTTTTAATGAGATCATTTTATATCACTATTGTCCTAAATTAAATTTAAAGAAAATGCGTTTTATAATTATAATTATAATTACAATTACAATTATAATAATTATTATTATTATTGTTATTATTATTATTATTATTATTATTATTGTTATTATTATCTTTGTTATTTTTATCATTTCAATAAAAATTAAGCATTTATAATAATCTAATGGTTTTGAAATTATTGTTATTAATATGCATATCCCTGATAAGGTTATTTTAATTCAAGAGGAAAAAATGAGTTAATTTTGATTACTCCGTTTGAAGAACCATCAATCGTAAAATATTCCCTCGCTGCTGAGTACGTACATTAAATCCATTAACGCCCAAAAGAAAACTACGTGTACACATTACTTTTAATTGTTATTTATTATGACATATTGGGCAAATTAGAACATCTATTAGAAAAAATATAGAGAAATTCACATAGCCAAAAAGGTAAAGGGGTATACTCAGCCGGGTGCACTGTGCAGATTAGGAGTGACATTGCCCAAAGCAAGGTCGCTCAACAAAAAGTTTTTTGTGTGTGCATTTTCACATCGCCAGCGGATCCGGCTATGGCAAATAACACAACGCAATTGGTTTTCAATTTGCTCCGAATTATGACCATCATTTTGTGTATCCACTGTAGGGACTGTTGATGATGTTGGACGACTTTTTGTACTTTTTTGTTGTAAATACGGTTATGCAGTTATTCGTTTGAATGCCAACTGATCCGTGAATATCACCTCATCAGTCCTGCTAAAACATGCAGCCGCCAAGCATTAGAAAAGGTTATATCCAGTAGATAAGTAAAGATAACCCATCACCATTTTTTTCCTCTCATAGACACCCTCTACAGATTGATCCATTAGGTCGACATCACCCATTGTTTGTTATCTATCTATCTATATACTACTAAAACTCAAGTTTGTTTACATGTTTAAATATTTTTTTTTTGTCTGATAGGCTATTGTAACTGGTTCAACTCTATGTGGAGAGCTGTAAAATAGTATGTAGGTAGAGAACATTTTTTTTCATACAGACTGTTAATCTTAAATTTATTTTAAGACGTTAATTAATTTATTGATTTATTCATAGATAGATTAACCACATTGATTTTAAAGTTTTAGAACAATTGCTTAACTTTGACTGAATAGTGATGTTTGATAACTCATTTTTTGTTTGTTTGTTTTTCTGATTTGTTATTGGGGAGAATCTGCATTATGTGTAGCGCTGTAAAATAGGATTTTGGGTGGTAAATATTGTTCTTTTTTAAACACACTGTTAATTACAAACTATTTTAAAGCTGTTAATTAATTTATTGTTATAATCATTAGTAGATTAACCACATTAATTATAAAAGTTTAGAACAATGACTTTTTTACAACAATGTTTTCAATTATTTTTTCTTAAGGCCAATATGTGAATGAAAAGTTGACTATCAAGACCTCGCGGAGCACAGGGCAGGTGAAGTAGAGTTCACCTGTTTTTATGTTCTCGGCATTTGAAGTGATAGTGTGGTCAGAGCCATGCTCGGCCGGAATCTTTTTTTTTTTTAATACAAACATGTCTGAGACTTGGCGGGTCACTGGGCAGGTGAAGTATAGTTTAGTAGAGTTTTTAATTATAAAAAACGTCTTTTTGAATGAGGGATCTGGTTATTTTGGGATGAAAAGTGCTGGCAGACGTGATGTCATTTATGGATGACCCCCCGAAACTCACAGTTATCTAACTAGATAACTGGTAGTCTAGTATACTACTAAAACTCAAGTTTGTTTACATGTTTGAATATTTATTTGTTTGTTTGTTTGTCTGATTTGATACTGTAAGGAAACTGCTTTATATGGGGGGGGGGGGGGGGCTGTAAAATAGTATGTAGGTAGAAAACATTTTTTGTTTGCAGGCAGACTGTTAATCAGACATTTATTTAAAGACGTTAATTAAATTATTGATTTATTTATAGGTAGATTAACCACATTAATTTTAAAGTTTTAGAACAATGGCTTAACTGTGACTGAATTATGAGGTTTGATAACTCATTTTATTGTTTGTTTGTTTTTCAGATTTGTTATTGGGGGGGGGGAATTTTTTTTATTAGGTTAACTATCAGGACCTCAGGGGGCACAGGGCAGGTGAAGTAGAGTTTAGTTGAATATAAAAATATAAAAAACGTCATTTTGAATGAGGGGTCTGGTTATTTTGGGATGAAAAGTGCTGGCAGACGTGATGTCATTTATGGATGACCCCCCCCCCCGAAACCCACAGTTTTCTAACCAGATAACGGGTAGTCTAGTAATTTATTATCATTCTCGGTGTATTGAAATCAAAATTATGCGTCTGAGCATTACACAACATTTTTACTTTTCCAACAGGCTCTACATAATCAAAATTGGATCCAATAGCAACATCATTGTTATCCTTCCGACGTACAATTACTTTAGCAGCACATTCCCTCTTCACACGGTCAAGCTAGGTACCTTGTGGTAGGACACGGGCTCTCTCACCTGGAGGTAGGACACGGGCTCTCTCATCAGGTGGTAGGACACGGGCTCTCTCACCAGGTGGTAGGACACGGGCTCTCTCACCATGTAGTAGGACACGGACTCTCTCACCAGTAGGACACGGGCTCTCTCACCAGTAGGACACGGGCTCTCTCACCAGTAGGACACGGGCTCTCTCACCAGGTGGTAGGACACTGGCTCTCTCACCAGGTGGTAGGACACGTTCTCTCTCAACAGGTGGTAGGACACGGGCTCTCTCACCAGTAGGACACGGGCTCTCTCACCAGGTGGTAGGACACATGCTCTCTCACCAGGTGGTAGGACACGTGCTCTCACACCAGTAGGACACGTGCTCTCTCACCAGGTGGTAGGTCACGTGCTCTCTCACCAGTAGGACACGTGCTCTCGCACAAGTAGGACACGGGCTCTCTCACCAATGGTAGGACACGGGCTCTTTCACCAGTTTGTAGGACACGGGCTCTTTCACCAGGTGGTAGGACAAATGATCTCTGGACAAATGATCTCAGGACAAATGGTATCAGGACAAATGATATCAGGACAAATAATCTTAGGACAAATGTTTATAATATTTAGGGTGATTTTAGTTGATTTGAACATTTTAGATTATTTATATATGTTTGTAATTGCTTGTTTTTTATCAAAATGAATATTACAACAAATAATTATTACTAATAACCATCAATTAAAAATGTTTTCTTTTCGAAAAGCTATTTTAAAAGACAAGAAATTTTTTTATTGCACTGATAAACATTTATTTTGGATTGACTGTTACACACTTTATCTACTGAAATAATTTAATAAGCAAATGCTGCTTTCAAAATTTAAAAAGAAAAACATATTTCACTAAGTTTCAAGTCTGCATATCAACAACAGTAGCAGCCTTTTAATATGGCACCTGAAAGAATTCAAAATATACGTTTTAATGAGATCATTTTATATCACTATTGTCCTAAATTAAATTTTTAAAAAATGCGTTTTATAATTATAATTATAATTACAATTACAATTATAATAATAATTATTATTATTGTTATTATTATTATTATTATTATTATTATTATTATTATTATTATTATTATTATTATTATTATTATTATTATTATTATTATTATTATTGTTATTATTATCTTTGTTATTTTTATCATTTCAAAAAACATTAAGCATTTATAATAATCTAATGGTTTTGAAATTATTGTTATTAATATGCATATCCCTGATAAGGTTATTTTAATTCAAGAGGAAAAAATGAGTTAATTTTGATTACTCCGTTTGAAGAACCATCAAACACGTAGCGTTTCTGTCGTCAACATTTTCCTGTTTCTTTATGACAGAAGTTACTACAGCTTTGGACACATTTATTTTTGCAGTCCAAACCCCACGATCCGTCATCGCAGTCTAAAAACAATATATTTGTATCGATTATAGAAGGAGTTTGTCAGCATTTCCTCCAACACTTTATGGGGTTTATGGATACACATAAAGAGAATCGTATAACGTTTTCGTGTATAAAAATAGGTAACTAAATAAAAATGTTGACAATATTTCAAATTCGATTATACTAATATTTTAATGCGTAAATGTGTATAATTAATGGCATATAACATGATAATTAGCATTTATAAGTATGAAAAATAGCATAACGACTCTTCTAAGCAAACCAATTAATTCTTACCTCCAAAAACTTCAATTTCACAAAAAGTAAAAAAGACTGCGGTATCCGAACCTATCTGAGATATTTTGATTTTCGATACGTTCTTTATCTGTTCAATAATCAAATCAAACACTGTTTGTGGGGGTTGGTCGTTTTTGTAATTCAGAAGACTTTTTGATTGCGCATCAAATGCCTCTAACAAGAAAGGTATTGCATTTTGATCATCTTCATCGCCTGAAATAATTTTTGAAACAGTATATTTTCGTATATTTATGTTCAACACATCAATTTTAGATAGTAAAAAATAATAAAACTCTAAGTAAAAAAAAGTTAATAATAGAAGATTCACAATACTATTTTCAAAAACTACAATTCTGCATCAAAACATTTTTAACTGTACTATCGAAATTATTTTTTGTCTAATTTTAAGTATTTAAATGCAAAATCCAAAGTAAAAATGAATTATTTAAAATTATGTTGGCTTTGTATGCAATAAGAGAGGCGCATTACAAAAATCACAAAATCTAAATATTTTAAAAGTATTAATCAATAGTAAACTGGCTGAGTCTAACCGAAAATTCTTTTGTGCAGTTTAAAACGATTAATAGAAACAGATTTGTCGAACTGAATTTCAACAAATGCATTGTCTTTGGCATTCTCCGATTGTAGATCATCGTATGCACAGCTCCATAAGTTGCCATCCACGATACCGCCGGGAAACTCGGAATTAGGTTTCTGAACCACAGTTTGTCTCAGTGCAAAATTACGGCCTAAAATAATAAAAAGATCAAAAGACACACACACACACACACACACACACACACACACACATATATATATATATATATATATATATATATATATATATATATATATATATATATATATATATATATATATATATATATATATATATATATATATATATATGTGTGTGTGTGTATATATATTTATTTTATATATATATATATATATATATATATATATATATATATATATATATATATATATATATATATATATATATATATATTATAAATATATAATCAATTTTATATAAATTAATGTTTACATATACAAGCAAATAAACATATAATAAATAAAATAAAATAAACATAATAAATTTTAAAAAAGCAAATAAACAACCTCTACTAAAATAGACAGAACACAACGTTGATAAGCCTGGGCCCTTCAGAACCAACTTGTTAGCCCTTTCGTTGTTTCTACAAAAAATATCTTTAGTATGATGTTCTGTATATATTTTTGCATCTGTGCATTTGAATGTTGAAGACTTTCCCTGAAACTCTATCTCAATAGCTTTCCCTATCCCGAGTTCTAAATAAAAGTTTAAAAAAAACGCATTTTATTGTAAAAGTTTAAAAGTATTTTGTTAAATAGTTAATACAAAAAAAATATCGGTTTACACACAATCATTTATGTTTCAAAAACTTTACCTGCTCTCGTAACCAGCCTCACTAAAGTTACAGGGAATTCACCGCCTAGCTCTAACGTTAAACTGCTTAATGACTCGTGCATGCAAGTGAAATCGTCGCCGTCTGTTACTACATGGGTGTCGTCATAGGTGGCCAGTTGATCCACTGCAGTGAATAGAGTTTTGATAAAATGTAATAATCGTGATGATATTTTATTTAGGATAAAATCTACCTATTGTATATTACAGAATTTAAGTGAAATACAGAACTGCATTCTAGCAATCAAAATCTTCTTCCCAATTAAAACGTTTTATTGATTTATTTGTGTGTATCTAAGTTAGGGTACTTAAAGGAAAATATTTGCAAGCATCAGGCACTCTTTTGAAAATATGGTTGCCATGGCAATGGCGGCCGTCTTGAAACAAGCTGCATTTTAAATTTCATAAAGTAACATAACAAAAATGTTACGAAAACAACTTTCCAATTGCAAGCTTTTCTATAGAAATGTGCTAAATGTAGAAAATAAATTAATGTCTTTAATATATAATAATGCACAACGATTTAAAAGCTATATAGTCACATCTCAAATTTTTCTAATAGTTATAGAAAATATAGTGACCTACGTTTTTTTATCGAATTTCAAACAGTGTTGCATTATTTTTTTATTAAAACAAAATAATATTTTGAATTTCGTGTGCATTATGATATTAAATATTGGTATTAAAACGGTGTTTATTAAGTTGTTTTTTTTTTATATTTTTTTATTATAACAAACAGTACAATAGACTTGTAAAACCTATATAATCTTACTAAATGTATTAAAAATACTTTTTAAAAAAATATAGTCAGCGATATAATTATAGTTACATTAGAAGGAAATTTAAGCTGTTTAGGAACCATCGTTTACACTTATTTTCATATTTGTATATTGAACATAACAGTTGAAAAGCCATTTCGAATTATTTTATCTATTCAAATATTTAAAAAAAAACTCCTCAGTCCCTCCTTGAAGTCAACCGGAGTGGTCGAGGAAAGTAAAACAATGAGAGTCACAACTATTGTTTTACATGATAAAATACACAATTGTTGTCAATATGGAATAGACTAGTAGTATATTTGTATTAGATAAGATAACATCCCCTATCAAGACAACACCCTGTCTATACTGATCCAAATAAAAAATAAATGTGTTAGCTAAATTACTTTAAAATGACTAGTAACTTTCTTAAAAATATTTATGTACTTAATATAACCGGAAATCATTTTGCACTCAATTCACAAATACTAAAAACAATCAATTTTGGGTTGAAAAATATGCTACCTTGCAACAACCATTTCAACCAGATTTTCAAGCCAATTACATGACTTGAAACAATTGCACAGCGGTTCTTGTAATAGCGCGAACAAAATAGTACTTTATGTGAAAAAAAGTTGGTTAATTCTTGAAATTCAATTAAATTAGTAGTGGTCGAAATTGTATTGAGCCGTTTTCGACCCATGATGACGGCAAAAGACAAAACCATCAAAGACACACAGACAGAGAAAGCAAGTTAAACAATTGCTTGTAACAATATAATTTAGCAAACAAAATTATTGATACGGGAAAATCGTCGTTTAGCGATGCGTATATTTAAAGAATGTCACACCCTATTGAAAGTAAAAGCTTTATTTTAAGCGATCTGCGGATGTAAACATTTTCTCACCGTACTGACAGTGTTTACCAAACCATCTCAGGGAACACTTTTCTGCTGGCCAGCATGTGCCATTTTTATAGCAGTGGTCGCCCCTACAGTTACACCTGTATTTCTTTTTCGGACCAACCCAGGTGTAGGCTACAAAATCAAATGCAAAATTGCTGATGCTACTGAGCACAACAAATATCAAAATTAACACATTTAATAGATAGGATTTAATGTAAACACTACATTCAAATTAATCAATAAAATGTATACCGATGTTATTTCTTTTAATTAAAAATAATATTTATACTATTTATGTTATAGTAGATATAGTTACAAAGAAATTTAAAAAAAAAATAATTTTGAGAAAACTGGTACTTTGAATATGTTCAACAAGTCCATATTTGTCAATGTTATCAATATCCGATGGTTTTTGTTCGCATTCCCCAGTCTCCGGGTGGCAAGGATTTGCACAGTTCTCGTCACATTTTGCCTGACAATCCAAACCCCAATGTCCTGCATCACACTCTAGGTAAAAAAAACAAATAAACAAATAAACACTAAGCACGACAGACGGATTAAGTAAGTTAAACAAAAGCTTGTAGAAGGGAATATACTCATTTTTTATGTCATGTAATTTAGTACCGTTGTAATGAAAGCCCAGAAAAGCCATGTAAATTGCAGTGTATTCTATACAATATGTACATTTTTATATCTTTTCGAAAGAATTGTCCAGTCTCTTTAAGTCAAGGTATACTGCAATCACTGTCGCTTTTTTTCTTACATTCCAAACCCCAAAATCCGCCAGGGCAGACTGAGTATGATCAATATTGGTTTAAACATTATACAATGAGGCTAAAATACAACTTAAATGAACAAAATATCCCAAAATATTTATTGAGAAGTAAAGTGATCAAGTAGGAGAGTCTAAGACGAAATCCCTTGTTCCAGGTTTAGGTAAAAGGAATCAAGTAATACGATGTCATTCAGTTCTGCTTGTTAATTTCTATTTCTGGCTAGTCAATAAAAAAAGAAAACAAACAATAAAACGACTCTAATATACATAAACTTATGTTTATATAGATTTTTTTTCTTTTGGGAATGATGAATTTTGAGCTTTGTAGGCAGTAATATAGATTTTGGCACACTAAGTAACACTTTAAAAATATTACATGAAGGTGAACAAAACATGTTCGTCCATCACAAACAAACCGAAATAAATAGGTGAACATTTTATTCAAATAAACTTTGCATTCGTACCTTTTTTGATGCATTGTCCTGTTTCCGTATCACAATCATTACTGCAGCTACTGTCACATTTGTTTTGACAATCCAATCCCCAAGTCCCATTCAAACAGTCTGAATATAATACCAAATACAATTTAATACTTTAACACTTCTAGCAAAAACACGGAAAGCAAAACTAATGTCAAGTTGTCTAATAGTAAAGCCCACGACGAAATATTTACATGTTTTTCCAGGTATTGATTTTTTGGATTATGATCCGGAGAATTTTTTTAAGCGATTTTTCCTCCCAATTTATCATAAAACACATATTCAGTTTTTACTTTCTCGTATATACGAAGTAGGCCCTGTAACGTCCCCTATCTATCAGCCAGATAGAAGGTGAACGTCCCCGGATTCTTTTTTCGGGGTCATATGCAAATGCCTTACGGCCTAAATGGATGAACACTAACACAACGACACACTAGGGCTCGAATTCGATGTCTAGGGAAAACTAGTGATACTATTGTAATTAACACTCATCCAATCTACATACAACCTTTAATAAGCGAACACAGTTGTGGCAGAACACAAGGTTAAACTCGATAGAATATTTAATGTATAAAATATCAAAACCCAACTTACAGAGTGTAGGAAAAAACACTATCACAGATTTCTACACTGCCTAAAAGAATAGCCACAGGCCACACAACACTGCTATAGCTTCAAGAATTACTTGGCGACAAGTAATATTATACTAGAAGACTAAATCAACTTAAGAAAGCGTAGCACACACAGGACTTAAGTTCTCTCACGTTCAAATGGTCAGAGTCTATAGCCGGACAATATGGACGGCTGCCTGATCAAGGTAAAACTGCCTGCGACAAGTCTCAAATGGAGACTCACAGATCACTCAAGGCCACTTGAGCTACTGTTCTCGTGCTGGTTGTGTTTCCTATGGTGTGACACTTTACGTGGTTCTAACCACTAGGCCACTAGTGGTGTTCCTAACCACTATGCCACATTACTCGGCAGCAAGCCGAGTTTCTAAGCCACTAGACCACTAGACACCATAGACTCTACTCAGTTTCTCACCGAGTATTCGAACCTCGGCCGCCGCCGTGGCGCGCCGAGATCCTAGCCATTGAGCTATGGGGTAGTCATCTGACCAGAATCATTCAATCAGATCTTAATGGAAAATTTCTATGTCTTAGACCCCTTAATAAGTCAGTGGAAAAACCCCGGTTGTTGCACAATCACTTCATATAAGGTATTATACAATGTCAAAATAAAAATAGAACCTGACTCGACCTAAGTAGGTCACATCCCCTCCCTTTTTGGAAGTGACAGATAGGTTCCACAAAAACATACATAAGGAACCAATCTGGCAATGAAATAAAAAAAATGTTTTACAAATGTAGGCAATCAAAATCATAATTCCAGATGAAAATATCCCTGAACATAAAAGGGAAGTAACTCAAACTTTTACAATTGGTGAAAGGGAAGTAACCCTTCAAAAGGTAATTATACATCAAAATCCCTCAAAAAAGGGTATTACAAATATTTCCATGTGGATATTAAAAGTGGTAAACCCGCCAGGGTAAGACCTTTATTTCAATGACTAGCTACAATATCAATTGAGTCATCTGAGACATTTTATTATAAAAGATTACATAGAATCAAAAACCACCTTTAATTAAGGTTCACCTGAAAATAAACAAAATATTCAATAGAATTGGAATTTTGTAAAAATCAAAAATCACACCACTTGTGTATGGTCTTAATGAACCACAAAACATGTCACATGATCAATGTGTGCAATAAGATTTTAAACCCTTGACAAACAATCAGCCACAACATTATCACTACCCTTAATGTGTGAAATTTCCAGATTAAAATTTTGGAAATATAAACACCATCTCAATATTCTTTGATTTGTCTGTCCTAACTTAGAGGTAAATTTCAGGGGATCATGGTCAGAAAACACTCTGACTGGATTGGTTGAAGAAGAGACATAGACTTCAAAATGTTGTAATGACAAAACCAAAGCTAAAGCTTCTTTTTCAATAGTAGAGTAATTCTTTTGGTTTTCATTTAACTTCCTGGAAAAAAAGGCAATGGGATGGTCAATTCCCATGTTGTCTTCTTGAAATAGGACTGAGCCAATGGCTAAGTTGCTAGCATCAAGGGCAAGTTTAAAGGGCTTGCTGAAATTTGGTGCAGCCATAACAGGAGCATTAGATAAAAATGACTTAATGGTTAAAAAAGCTTCTTGACATTTATTTGACCATTCAAACTCAACACCCTTTTTCAATAATGCAGTAAGAGGTTCAGCAATAGCTGAAAAGTTTTGACAGAACCGCCTATAGTAACCAGCCATCCCAAGGAACTTTTTGATCTCTTTACAATTTTTGGGAGGTGGTAACCTTACAATAGCATCTACTTTAGCTTCAATGGGCCGAACTTGGTTCGTCCCCACTTGGTAACCCAAATAGGTAATTGAAGCTTTACAGAAATCACTTTTATGTAAGTTTACAGTAAAATTCACTTCAGACAATTTTCTTAAAAGGTTAGTCAACTGAACAATATGTTCTTCAAAAGTATTAGAGAATACAACTATATCATCTATGTAGGCCTCACATTGGTCTATGTCAGCAATGACAGAGTTAATGACCCTCTGGAAAGTCTGACCAGCATTTCGCATACCAAAGGGCATACGTTTGTATCTATAAAAACCATTAGGGGTTACAAAAGCAGATATTTCTTTTGCACGGTCAGATAAGGGGATTTGCCAGTATCCTGAAAGTAAATCAATTTTGGAAATTATCTTAGCCTGACCAACTTTATCAATAACGTCTTCTATCCGAGGTAATGGATAGGAATCAGCTTTGGTGAGCGCATTTACCTTCCTAAAGTCGGTCACAAACCTGAAAGATCCACCGTCTTTCGGTACTAGGAGACATGGGGAACTCCAGTTGCTGAAACTGGGCTCAATGATATCATTCTTGAGCATATAATCAATTTCATCTTTTATCAAAGCAGCTTTTTCCGGGTTAACTCTATAGGGGTGTTGTTTGATGGGTTTTGCGTCACCTACGTCTACATCATGAGGTGGAACCTTCGCTTCTTTGGGGACATCCCCAAAAATAGAGGGAAATGTCTCAAATAACTGAGACAATCTATGGCTTTCCTCTGTGGACAAATGCATAAGGTGGACATTCAAATTATCTAAAAAGGAAGAATTTACCAATTTTGGGGGTTTCAATTTATCATGTATCACATCATCAGAAACATTTGAACATACAGGTAAAGTAATTTTAGCTGTGGAATGAAAATTGTTACTATTATCATAATACTTTTTCAGTGAATTAACATGATACACTGTCTGTTTCTTTCTTCTGTCGGGCGTATTGACAACATAGTTCAAATCACTTAATTTTGAATGCACAGTAAAGGGTCCACAATATCTCAAGGATAACGCATTGTTCAGATTAGGTACTAGCACAAGAACTTTCTCGCCTGGATTGAATGTTCGTTTACAAGAACTCTTATCATACAGTCCTTTCATTCTCACTTGGGCCCTTCTTAAGTTCTTGTGAGCCATTTCGCACACGGCTTTCAGTCGAACGTGAAAATCATCAAAGTTTTCCACAGGATGAACGCTGGTACCTGTCCACTGTTCGTGGATCAGCTTCAGGGGACCTCGGACAGAATGTCCAAACACAAGTTGAAAAGGAGAGTAGCCTAAAGAGTCCTGGACACAGTCCCTCGCAGCGAAAATAATCCAAGGAACAGTCTCATCCCATTGGGTGTTACTGTTAGCGAACGTTCTTAGCATGGTTTTGAGGGTTTGGTGGAACCTCTCAAGTACGCCTTGAGACTGAGGGTGGTAGGCTGAGCTGGTGATGTGGGTAACGCCTAGCTTGGCTAGTGCTTCCTGAAAATGGTGACTGGTGAAGTTGCTGCCTTGATCTGTTTGCACGATTCTAGGTAATCCAAAGGTAGTGAAGAACCGGGTCATGGCTCTGACTACAGTCTTTGCCTTAATGTTCCGTAAGGGAATCGCCTCGGGAAAACGGGTACTTGAACACATAAAGGTAAGTAGGTACTCGTTGCCCGCCTTGGTTTTAGGCAAGGGACCTACACAGTCCATGACGATTTTAGAAAAAGGTTCTTCTAATACAGGAATCGGACTCAAAGGGGCCTTAGGAATTGTCTGGTTTGGCTTTCCGGCCAACTGACAGTTCGTGCAACTTTTACAGTAACGCGACACATCATTTCTCATTTTGGGCCAAAAGAACAGTTCTTTGATCTTCGCCGTCGTTTTAGAGACTCCTGGGTGCGCTGACATTGGATGGTCATGTGCCAGCTTAAGTATTTCATGCCGATAAGGTGGAGGGACCCACAGCTGGTTTTTACCCAACCATGGTTCGGCTGGTGAGGCATTCACTGGTATAGCGCGACGAAAGAAGAGGCCGTTCTCGGAGAAATATTCTCCATCGTCAGATGAGAGAGATTTTTCGACCGTTGCTTTGAGTTCCGCGTCGACTTGTTGAGCTTTAATGATGTCTTCCTGAGATATTCTCAGGGGTAAGCCCAGGCTTGTGTTTTCTGGAAGCATAGACTCCAGTTTGGGAGTCGAATTTCTTGACGATGATGGTAGGTGTGGTTCAGACGTTGTGTCAGCCAATTGTTTGGTTTGGCTTCTTGTCACCGCGCATGCAGGATACAGTTCATTATCATTATCTGGAACTGTTGACAAAGGGTCTGAAACCGTACAGGGGTATACTTTGCTTCCCGCAAGGTCATTCCCTAGAAGTAGGTGTACTCCTGGGACAGGAATACTATCTATCACACCTAAAATGACCTCACCTTCGACGAGATGATGTTTCAGGGCAAACTTGTGTAGAGGGACTACAGTAGATTTTGTCCCTACTCCCTGGATAATGGAAATCCTTCCGGTGTTCGTTTCAGGTGTAATGTCCATTGAACTTTTCAAAAGAAGTGATTGTGACGCTCCTGTGTCTCTTAGGACGGTGATATTCCGCTGAGACAACGGATCACCTGGTTTGCTAATGATGGCTTCGGCAATAAAAGATGAAAAGTCAACTTTTCTCGATCCCTCGAGATCGGTAGACTCGGAAGAAACTGGATGGTGGCGAGAACAGTCAAAATGTGACTGCACATAATGTGTGGGGATTTGACTACCTTCTTGCGGACACTTAGGGTTAGAGTCCTTTAGAATTCTAGAGTTCATAGTTGAACTGGCTGCTTGAGGGGATAGAGCATAGTGCGCAGAAGTACACACCACCTCTCTGTTATATTGACGACGTTTGTAACAGTCCTTGACAAGATGACCAGGTCTTTTGCAGAACTGGCATACCGCTCGACGATTGAGAGTTGATCTTGGGTTCTCTCTGGACTGTGATGCCTTCAAGTGTTGGCCAACAGGAGGATTGCTGCCAAAAAGGAGGAGCACGGGGTTGAGGCGGTTTCCTGACACTGGTGGTTTCTTATGCACCAACATATATGTGTCAGCCGACTCAGCAGCCTTCCGGATGTCAATTATCTTGTTATCCAGTATGTGTAGTCGTATCTCTTCAGGCAGGGACGATAGGAATTCTTCCCTTAGGATAAGTGACCTGAGTTTCTCAAACTCAGAAACTTCCTCCGAGTGCAGCCACCTTGAAAATATTTTCTCCTTTTCAAAGAGAAATTCCACATATGATTGAGTGGGTAACTTGCGGAGTGTTCGGAATTTTGTCCGATAGGCCTCAGGCGTCAGCTCGTAGGCCTTCAAAATGGCAGTCTTGACCAAACTATAGTTATTTTGAACGTCGTGAGAGAGTGCCTGGTATGTTTTTGCAGCTTTCCCAGTAAGGACCGAGCTCAATAAAGCAGTAATGGAAGTTTCGGGCCATTCACATGTCTTCGCTAAACTCTCAAATGAGTTAAAGAAAACGACCAAATCTGTTTCATCAAATTTAGGAACTAATTTCCCGAATTTGGCAATCACTTGCCCCACCGACAACTTTTTTGGATCTACCAGAGAAGTAACATCACTAACTTGACCAAATTCTGATTCCAACCTCCTCCTATCTAAAGCAATTTTAACCTCTAACTCCTGTTCTTTTAATGCCTTCTCTAAAGCAACTTTCTCCTCACGGAGTAACACACCAGCCAACAAACTTTCATCAAATACCCCTTCATTAATAAAATGAACAACAATTTTATCTCTCAACACCTCTGACTTCTGCGTAACAGAATAATCCAATTTCAATTCCTTAACAAGACTAATCAAAACTTTTCTACTCAACTTCTCGACCTCCTCAAAAGTGGGATTAGCCAAAAAAGACTCCATAACACTAACTTTCAAAAACACAACAAGCCTAGATTCACTAACTTAACACTGAGCGTTGGGCCGTCTACTTGACCTCTTATCGTGACACGTCTGGCTGTTGACCTAGATACCTCTAGGCTTGCGCGCGCTGTAAGAACACGGCGCACTGGATAGAAAAACAACCAAATCAAACTAAACTTAGTGCTTACTGATATAACCAACAACTGGAACGACAGATTAAATCCCGGACGAGCCCCCACTTTGTAACGTCCCCTATCTATCAGCCAGATAGAAGGTGAACGTCCCCGGATTCTTTTTTCGGGGTCATATGCAAATGCCTTACGGCCTAAATGGATGAACACTAACACAACGACACACTAGGGCTCGAATTCGATGTCTAGGGAAAACTAGTGATACTATTGTAATTAACACTCATCCAATCTACATACAACCTTTAATAAGCGAACACAGTTGTGGCAGAACACAAGGTTAAACTCGATAGAATATTTAATGTATAAAATATCAAAACCCAACTTACAGAGTGTAGGAAAAAACACTATCACAGATTTCTACACTGCCTAAAAGAATAGCCACAGGCCACACTGATCAAGGTAAAACTGCCTGCGACAAGTCTCAAATGGAGACTCACAGATCACTCAAGGCCACTTGAGCTACTGTTCTCGTGCTGGTTGTGTTTCCTATGGTGTGACACTTTACGTGGTTCTAACCACTAGGCCACTAGTGGTGTTCCTAACCACTATGTTTCTAAGCCACTAGACCACTAGACACCATAGACTCTACTCAGTTTCTCACCGAGTATTCGAACCTCGGCCGCCATTGAGCTATGGGGTAGTCATCTGACCAGAATCATTCAATCAGATCTTAATGGAAAATTTCTATGTCTTAGACCCCTTAATAAGTCAGTGGAAAAACCCCGGTTGTTGCACAATCACTCCATATAAGGTATTATACAATGTCAAAATAAAAATAGAACCTGACTCGACCTAAGTAGGTCACAGCCCCCTATAAAGAAAGTATTGTAATCGTGCAAAAAAAAAATCGAGATTTTTACAAATCTCGACGTTTTACTCCTCACTGATACGGAAAAACATAATTTTGCAATCTTGTCCGTATGTCTGTGTGTGTGTTTGTCTGTCTGTCTGTCTGTTTGTCTGTCCGTGTGTAAACACGATTACTTGAGTACCGTTACAGCTAGGTTGATGACATTTCATATATAAGTATTTTATCAAAATCGTAGATCCGTATCAACTTTTGAGCGATTTCCGATAACCGGAAGTGGTACTTTTCCTACGTTGATTTTTTCAAAAGCCTATAACTTGAGTACTATTTCAGATAGATAAATGAAATTTCACATGTAAGTAAAAGATTTAATTTTCTACCTTATGTTAAATTTTGAGTAATTTCAGTTGACCGGAAGTAGTAATTTACTTTACTTCCGATTTCTCAATAAACTTATGTAAATTTTTAAAGTACTAATAGTATTGCGCACTATTATGCACTTTTTTATTTGGCGTTCACTTGGTGGGCAATTCTTTTTTCTACGAGATTTTATTCTATTTTTAAAACTTTAAGTATTTAAAATGGATTAAAAATCATGTCTATAGCCCGAGTTCCCCTCCCCCGGATTATTTTATATAAGAATTTTCGAGAAAGTTTTGGGAAGATCACTCCCGGTTTATTTTGTTTAATTAATTGTATTTATTATGAACAGTGGTGTCACTAGGTCGAGTGTCACCCGTTGCGGCACTTCTTGGCGTCACCTCCCCTCCCAAGAAAAAAATAGTATTGATATTTATCTATTGTTTGTTAATAATACAGTTGGATGTTGCATTGTTTTCTCAACAGTTATCTCGTTTACGTCTTGATGTCACCCCCACACCCTTGCAATAATTGTCTATTTGTACTTAAAAAACTATATAACTATAAATATTTATTAACGGAATTGGCAAAAAAAAAAAATTTCTGCTCTAAATGTATCTAAATGTCACCCCCTTAAACGGTGTCACCCGGTGCGGCCCACATCCCCCGCCCTCGCTACTCATCTGATTATGATTATTTTCCAAAAAAAAATAGTTCATTAGGAGTGCGTAATTAGTTTTTAAAAAAATCAAGGTTACGCTATATGTTTTTATTTACAAATGCTTAATTTTGAATAAACAATAACCTTTTTACTAATTGTCCAATTTTGATATCTTTTTCAGGGGAACAAGGCATTACCACCCCCACCAATAACCCCCTCGGACATCCCTCAGTTTTAGGCTGAGGTGAATGCTTCAGTTTTGGTCTTTTTCTTAAGGTTAGGATTAAGGTAATATATAGGTATAGAATTTGAGATAGAGTTAAGATTCTAACATGGGGAGGGGTGACTGACAGGGGGGGGGGGGGGTAATTGCTCCGGGGGACAAATACGGGGGGGGGGGAATGTTCGGGGGTAATTAACGAGGGGCTCGGTAATGTCCCGTAGCCCTTTATCAGTACTCTATTAAAGCAAAGCTTGGTTTTATTATTTGATTATTATTATTTTCATTTTTACTTCGCACTTTTTAGTACATTAATAAACTTCATATGAACCAATCAGAAAGCTCCTAGTATTTTTCTCAAAAGCACGTTTTCGACAAATCTTGTACGGTTTCTTTAAAAAATGTACAACTCTCTTTGGCTCAAATATATATATATATATATATATATATATATATATATATATATATATATATATATATATATATATATATATATATACAGTGTGTACCATTATAAATTGATATACTTTTGCTATATATTCCAAAAATGTTCAAAAGATGTATGTCAATGTAACCCTATAATTTTTTTCTAGAAAAAAACTAAACATTCATAAAATAGTTATAGTTATTGTTCTTAAGAATCAAATAAAATTGTAATACAATTATCTTACAAACATTACAAACATTACTGAAAATGTTCATGTCTTAAACATTAATACTTTTCTCATAATATTGCACATAGAAATGCTGCTAAATATAGAGACAGCTGACTATTTCAAGGTCTAAATAAGACCAGAACAATATAAGAATTTATTTCCTTACTCGCATCTATATGGACTGTACATATTAAAGTTATTAGCCTCCAAAGATTATAAATAAAGAAACTACATTTTTGGTGTAATAGCTATACTTAATTAGAAATTTAAAAATTATTGTGTGTATTTTATTGTATCGGTTCTTGACCCACGTAACAAGTTTCAAACGAATATTTCAATTAGAAGTGCTCAAAATTTTGCTCGGCAGAATCGATCTATCACGAAGGACAAAACACGACAGACAGAGGAACCAACTTAAATAAAACTTTTTGAAATGAAATATACACTCATGTTTCATTTCATATAATTTAGTACCGTTGTAATGAAAAAAAAAGCCACGTGATTTACAGTGTAATCTAAAGTAATATACTTTTCATGTATACCTTTTCGGATGCATTGTCCAGTCTCTTTATGGCAAGGTTTACTACAACCGCTGTCGCATTTTTTCATACAATCCAAACCCCAATATTCGCCAGGGCAGTCTGAATATAATCAATATTGTTTTTTTTTAATTATAATATGAGGCTTGAATGCAACTTTAATGAACAAAGTACCCCCAAATTTTTATTGAGAAGTAATGTGATCAAATAAGAGAGTATAACTGTTCGATACAAGGTATCATGAAATACGTCATTTAATTATGATTGTTGATTGTTTTTCGGGCAAGCCAAGGAAAGAAAAGACAGCAAAAATAAAACGATTATACCATACATGAATATGCCGAAGTCTCATAAACAGTATAAATTTAATTCAACTGCTCAAATGACCGCTACTTTATCGTACGTGACTTAGAGTACAATTATTTTACTAAAACCCTAAAGACGTTTCTAGCAACGTTTGAAAAAGTAAGGCGGCACCTTTATCACTATAAATGAGGTTGTATGATATTAACCCATATAAATGCGATTATAATAGTGTTCGAAAAATGGTAATAAACAATAAGAACAACAGAGAGAGGAAACTAAATTTAAAAAGCTAGTAAAAAGGAATACACACTCGTGTTTTATTTCATGTAACTTAGTACGTTGTAATGAACACTCAATATATTCCATAGAAATATACATTTATGTATACCTTTTCGAAAGCATTGTCCAGTCTCTTTATGGCAAGGTCTACTGCAACCGATGTAGCATATGTTAATACAGTCCAAACCCCAAAATCCGTCAGGGCAGTCTGAATACAACCAGTATTGTTTTCAGCTTTAGAAAATAATGCTAAAATGCAACGTTTTAGAATAATGTAACTTAAAATATTCCTTGAGATGTAAAGTGATCAAATAGGAGAGTCTAAGACGAAATCCATTGCTCCAGGATTCGGGACAAGGAATCAAAAAACACGACGTAATTTAATTATGTTTGTTAATTTGTGTTTCTGGCTAGTCAAGAAAAGAAGTGACAGCAAACAATAAAACGGCTATACTATACATGATTTTTTCAAGGTCTCATAAACAGTTTAAATTTAATTCATATTCTCAAATGATCGTTACATTATATAACGTCTCTTCGACTTTATTTCTGTTGCTAAAAATCTAAAGACGTTTCTATCATCATTAGAAAAAAATTACTTTGGAACTTTTATCACTTCAAATGAAGATTGTTTGAGATTCACTCATATAACTCTGGTTACAATAGTGGTAGACAAATGGTAATAAACAATTTCCTAAAGATAAATCAAATCTGTAGTCGAACCTACCTCCAAATGCCTCAAATTCACATAAAGTTACGATAGGACTTGGATAACTTGACTGTTTTATTTGCAGAGCAGAAACTGTTTTTGGCTTTTCAAAGTTGATATTATAGACCGCTTGTGTTGGGCTGGTATCAGTATATATCATTTCTCTATTGTTATTCGAATCAATTGCTTCCACAACAAACCCCTTTAATCTATCACTCACGTCATAAACCATCTGATTCTCTGAAACCATAATCCAAAATTAAAATTCTTTGTTCAGTCCACAAACGAATAAATAGAAAAACAAGATAAATACTTGTTTTTTAAACACTTTTAGAAAAATATAATATGGCGATTTAATAACAATATAAACACAATATATATATTTCTTTTGCAAAAGATAAAACATAATTTCATACATATTGCTAAAGCAAAACACATTTTAAAAATACCTGCAAAGTTTTAATACATCGTGCTTTTGTGCTATTATTAGATTGATTTAAATGTGCAGTTAGTTTAATCATTAGTTGACAAAAGTGTGTACAGAAATTAAATGATTATGTTTGGTTTAGAGATAAGTATTTGTGTGATTGCAAACGTGATTCGCTTGTGACGCCAGTAAACTGAATCAATATATACAATTCACCTCCCCACCCTGACACATTACACACAATCCAATTTTATTCACACATTGTCTAAAATACAAGATGTCCCCAATATTGATGTCACTAAAATAAACTTCATCAAAATTAAACGCAATTTTATCGAACAATGGCATGTTTCAAAAAATGTGTTTTTTTTAATGAAAACCATTAAGATTAATTCAGAATCCTCTACTCTGACTTCTTGTTTCAATACATTATCATATAAGACCGAACCGTCTCCCCCACAAAGAGGTGCTTAGCGTTACACTTACACTGTTCAAAGTAGGAAATGTCATTTAACCAACTTTTGAAGGCTCATTGCGCTATTAAATTTATAATACATTTTTTTAATTTTCGAAACCCTGCTATGTACGCAGATAACTACTCCATCGGTGATAGGACAAAGAATCTTAGACAAAATATCCCAGACACTATATAGCACGGAAAATTGATCTCAGGGAATAGGAACTGACGGACAAAATATATCACACCGAATTATATCAGGATAAATTATACCATAGACAAACGATCTCAGATAAAATATCTTACAGCGGAATATGTATAGTATTTGAGATTATTGTAATCGATTCTAACATTTTAAAACTTGATTGTCATACGGATTTTAGTTAACTTTTTTAAACATAATAATGGTGAGAAAAGGTTTGTCGCATAGGTTTGTCAAATTACATTAAACACATTAAAATAGCAATTAGATATATAATATTCTTAGATTCAAACTGTATTTCGATAAACAAGATCATTGGGCTTGAAGCTCATAAAACAATCCTACTACGTTAGGAAACTTAGATTAAAGTTGATCAGTCATGGGTATGTATATAGAAGGGCTATAAAAAAACAGTGATCTACCTCACTATTATGTTGAGTGATTAACTTACACTCAAGACTTTCATGCGGTAGTGTAGGTAAACCCGTGCCCCTCCCCCCCCCCCAAATAAGATCCAAGCGCGGGCGATGTTTAAATAACTCAGTTTAGAAAACAATGTCACACTTCTTAGAATATAGTATTGGTAACGCATTCTTGTATCCCAGCGACAACGCGCGGGGACGGGCACGCTAGTAAAATATAAAATAACAACATGTTTTTTTTTTTAAATCAACTTTATAAAATATAGTTTGGAATAACTCATATAATGACAATTAAGGAAATTAAACTTTTACAAAAATGTTTATATTAATTGAAAGATAAGATCTAACAGTAAATCACAAAATACAACGTTTTGTCAAATTCTTATTAAAAATGATGAAACCTACCATTCACTCTGTTATACAATTTGATACGGCTTATCGGGACCGGTTTTTCAAATTGAACTTTAAATGATGGGGCATTGTCGTTGACTGCAGTATGTGAAAATAAGCGGTCGCAATTATTTGTATCACCATCAACAGCCAACTTTGCGTAGAGATTTTCATAGTCACTTGACTGGGTAGCATTTTGTTTCAATGCCAAATTACGACCTGTTACATACAAATTAGAAAAGAAGATCGTTTTTATTTTCATTACCTAGATTTGTATGGTACACTCATTTATTTTGAAAGACTAAGTATTTTCTAGAATTATTCTTAAATAAGGTGTTAAACAATAGACGTAAATAATTATACAGTTAATGTTTTGACAATGACATCTTTGAATTTTCGCATTTATTTCTGTCTAAATCAATTTTGACTTAGTTGTTTATCGTCAGAAATATTGTATCTTCAAACAATTGAAATCTTTGCTCTACAGTTAATTATTCTCATAAGTAAAATATACTTTCTTCTTTTACAAAGTTATTATTAGTGGATAAAGCCTATTGCCTTGTCTAATTATGGGCATTTTCTTCAAAGAGAAAATCATGAAGATGGATGAAATTTGTTTGTCTGTATATGGTTTGGTTAGTATGTGAAATACTTGGATATGGTAGCAATGTTCATATTGGTTAAGAATTTTTTTTAAATATATAAATACAGGCAAAAAGAAAATTCTATATATAATATAGAAATTTTCAAAAAGTAAATTATAAGACTTTTGAGCGAGTGTTTAAATTCACATCATACATAAAAAAAACACATCGTAAAATAACAAATTCTCACACATTTGATATCCTTTGAATAACTATAAAGTTATCTTAACAAAGATGAACGGTAGCAAATTCGATTGTTTAATTATACCCCTTTCTATTAAAGATACACATTACTTCACTTGAATTTTTATCTTTGGTAGAGAGTATTACATCTTGTGTTGTTTATCATACTAATATATTATTAATTATTATAATTTATTGTATAAACCTTTAGAAAAAGATAAGAGATAGGACATCAGGGACGAAACATATTCTGCCTTTATTTAATCAGTTAAGTTAGTATAATTTTTTTCTGAAATGACAATAAATTAAATTTTTATATTGTTTTTCTAAATTGTTTATCATGTGTTGTAATAATTTTATTTGGGCTTCAAACAGTTTAATTTTGGTTTCAAATAGTATTAGCTTTAAATTTAGATACAATGTTTATAAGTTATATATGAATCATATGTTGTTAGTAAATTATGTCTATTTTAACGATGGTTTTCTTTTAATATCGGAATATTAGCATATTTTTGAAAAATGATCAAATGCTACGTAATATTTATTCTAATTTTTAATTTCTGAATAGAGGTATTTTAATTTTAAAAATTCAAACTTAAATTATCCTACTACTTATGATTTAATATAGAGCATAAATAGTACCGTAGGAAATAAAGATTAAGCAGTTCGATATTAAATTACCATGTTACTATTTAAAAAGAAATATGTTTATTACATTTAACATTTGAGTTATCAATCAACTAGTATTTATTTACTTTACTAGCAAAATCAGTAAAAATTGTTGTTATGGTTTTAATTTTAAGAATATTAATTGACTTACTAATGGATAGATACCGTATGTAAAATAAATATTAAAGTATTATTGAATGTAAAGCATTTTAAGGTCCATGTGATAATGTTAATCTTTAAACAACTAGTGCATGAACAGCTGGCTAACCTCTACTATAAATTAAATAATAAAATACACACCTCCACTGAAATAGACGGAGCATAGGTTGCTTGCATCGTCATTGCTTATACGGATTACATTAACCTGTACATCAGTTTCACAGATGTAGTCAAAAACGTTTGCCTTAACTTCATACGCTAGTGTAGTACATCCAGGAATTGGTTTCATACCTTTTATTTTGTGACCTATTTGAACGAAATTTTATAATTAGTTTCCATTTAGAGAAACACTTCTCAAACTAACCGCTCCTAAGAAATAAAATCCTCAATAAAACCTGATGAAAAATAAATTGTAACTTAATGCCTGTTAGAACGTGGTTTAAAAAAAATGTCTACCTTGTTTGTAAACAAATCGTATGAGAGATGTTGTATATGTATCTCCGAGATCTAAAGTCACATTGTCAGTTGTTGCGGGCAGGCAGGTATTATCATTGCCGTCAGTTAGTATGTTTTTGTTAGAATTCATCCCAAGTATATCAACTGGATGAAAATAAGTACGCGGTATCTTATGCATGCCTGTACATGCCTTTACACCAAGGTTCGGGAATGTAATGGCACACACAGACCAAAACACAAAATTTTTACACATCGAAACGAATGAATGAATTGAGTGAAATGAATAAATAAATAAATATATATACATGATAATTCTAATATTAATATTCATAAATTCAATAACCAACGCTATCAAAATAACACTCGAGCACTATAGTTAGATTACTATTTTATCCAAACCTTAATTTATAGCAATATATCATAACCGATTAGTGCAAAAAGAAATGTAATGTGTCAATACGGTGAAAAAGAATTACCAATCTGGCTTTCAGAAAATTATGAACTGGGAAGTTGTTTTTTTTTTTTATTTAAAGTAGCTAAAACCTTTGATAATGAGAAATAAGTAAGGAGGCTCCGGATGATATAAACAGATGTATTTTAGGAAACCTAACACACTATGCACTTGAAAACCAATTGGATATAATTGAATCGAAAAACATGATTTGTATTTTTATTACAATACATACCGTATTGACATGTATTACCAAACCAGCCACCTTTACAATTGAAGCCAGGTTTACATTGACCATCAACTTCACACTTAGTGTCCTGACAGTGACATTCAAATTGTTTGTTTTCTCCAAATAAGCTGTTCACTGCAAATTTTTTTATACTGAAATTATTCTCTAAATCAGTAAATTACTTATTCATGGTGCTTTTTGATTTATAAAAGTGCAATCATCGAGAGTTGCTGAGATGACAGAAAAAAACAAAATTTAATTACGCTATTAATGCAATTTTAAATTTATATCGTGGCTGAGCGATAGAGCGCAAGGCTGCTAACCCGATTCTCTCGAGTTCAAATCCGGGTTTAATTCAATATATCGTCCACCCAGTTCTAATAGTAACCTAACTAATTTTAGGGAAATTAAAGGCGGCTGGGCAAAGTTTTGACTACACCTTCCCTTTATATATCGAGGTGAAAAGACATGTGAACTCTATTTCATCTGCCCAATGGATTGCTATCTTTTTTTTTATAACAATTTATTAATTTCTTTAAGAAAATATTTCAAAGTGATTCCTTATAGTTGTATTTCCAAATCTAGTCCTTAATTCCAAATGGAAGCAACATTTTATACGGTTTTTTCAACGTGTGACCAATATGATTTCTTAAAATGTTCGACCCTGTTTTCTAAAACATGAGTTATTAAAATACAAAAAATGCCACGGTATCGCAAAGATGCGAAAGGTTGTGATGTATGAAACTAGGACCTGGATACACCATACAGTGAAAATACTTTGAAATCTAATATACTACTAATTTCCTCAATAAACTTGAAAAGTTAGACACCTTATTTAGCAGAATTTGTTAAGTAGAATTTTACCCACAAACACAAACACATTATCAGTCTGGTACTGGTAAGATAATAAGTATATTTTATTTTATGGGTGCCGGGTAGACAATAGTGTGTGGATAACAATGGGAATTTTTGTGTTAACACATTTTAATATTAAAAAAATAACAATTTTATACAATGAGGCTAAAATGCAACTTAAATGAACAAAATATCCCAAAATATTTATTGAGAAGTAAAGTGATCAAGTAGGAGAGTCTAAGACGAAATCCCTTGTTCCAGGTTTAGGTAAAAGGAATCAAGTAATACGATGTCATTCAGTTCTGCTTGTTAATTTCTATTTCTGGCTAGTCAATACAAAAAAGAAAACAAACAACAAAACGACTCTAATATATATAAACTTATGTTAATATAGATTTTTTTCTTTTGGGAATGATGAATTTTGAGCTTTGTAGGCAGTAATATAGATTTTGGCACACTAAGTAACACTTTATAAATATTACATGAAGGTGAACAAAACATGTTCGTCCATCACAAACAAACCGAAATAAATAGGTGAACATTTTATTCGAACAAACTTTGCATTCGTACCTTTTTTTATGCATTGTCCTGTTTCCGTATCACAATCATTACTGCAGCTACTGTCACATTTGTTTTGACAATCCAATCCCCAAGTCCCATTCAAACAGTCTGAATATAATACCAAATACAATTTAATTCTTTAACAGTTCTAAGAAAAAAACGGAAAGCAAAACTAATGTCAAGTTGTCTAATAGTAAAGCCCTCGACGAAATATTTACATGTTTTTTCAGGTTTTGATTTTTTTTATTATGATCCGGAGAATTTTTTTTAAGCAATTTTATCATCCCAATTTATCATAAAACACATATTCAGTTTTTACGTTCTCGTAGATCTATATACGAAGTATAGAGAAAGTATTGTAATCGTGCAAAAAAAAAAAAATCGAGATTTTTACAAATCTCGACGTTTTACACCTCACGGATACGGAAAAACATAATTTTGCAATCTTGTCCGTATATCTGTGTGTGTGTGTGTGTGTCTGTCAGTCTGTCTGTCTGTCTGTCTGTCTGTCCGTGTGTAAACACGATTACTTGAGTACCGTTACAGCTAGGTTGATGACATTTCATAGATAAGTATTTTATCAAAATCGTAGATCCGTATCAACTTTTGAGTGATTTCCGATAACCGGAACTGGTACTTTTCCTGCTTTGAATTTTTCAAAAGCCTATAACTTGAGTACTATTTCAGATAGATACATGAAATTTCACATGTGAGTAAAAGATTTAATTCTCTACCTTCTGTTAAATTTTGAGAAATTTCCGTTGTCCGGAAGTAGTAATTTACGCTACTTCCGATTTCTCAAAAAACTAATGTAAATTTTTAAAGTACTAATAATATTGCGCACTATTATGCACTTTTTTATTTGGCGTTCACTTGGTGTGCAATTCTTTTGTCTACGAGATTTTATTCTATTTTTAAAACTTTAAGTATTTAAAATGGATTAAAAATCATGTCTATAGCCCGAGTTCCCACCCCCTTGGATTATTTTATATAAGAATATTCGAGAAAGTTTTGGGGAGATCACTCCCGGTTTATTTTGTTTAATTAATTGTATTTATTATGAACAGTGGTGTCACTAGGTCGGGTGTCACCCGTTGCGGCACTTCTTGGCGTCACCTCCCCTCCCAAGAAAAAAATAGTAATGATATTTATCTATTGTTTGTTAATAATACAGTTGGATGTTGCATTGTTTTCTCAACAGTTATCTCGTTGACGTCTTGATGTCACCCCCACCCCCTTGCAATAATTGTCTATTTGTACTTAAAAAACTATATAACTATAAATTGTTATTAACGGAATTGGCAAAAACAGCTTTTTTTCTGCTGTATATGTATCAATTTTAAGGTGTCACCCCCTTAAACGGTGTCATCCCTTCGCCTTCGCTACTCATCTGATTATTATTATTTTCTAAAAAAAATAGTTTATTAGGAGTGCGTAATTAGTTTTTAAAAAAATTCAAGGTTACGCTATATGTTTTTATTTACAAATGCTTTATTTTGAATAATCAATAACCTTTTTACTGATTGTCCAATTTTGAAATCTTTTTCAGAGGAACAAGGCATTACCACCCCCACCAATAACCCCCTCGGACATCCCTCCCGACATTACACCCCGGAGTAATTACCCCTTGTCAATTACCAACCCCCCCCCCCCACCCCACCCCACCCAGTGGGAATTTACCCCCCCCCCCCCGGAAATAGGTAGGTTAAGCTAGGGTTAAGGTAAAATTTAGGGTTCTGGTTAGGATTAGTTAGGGTTAGGGTTAGCGCTAGATATAGGATTAGGAATAAGGTTAGTGTTATGGTCAGGGCTATACTTAAACCAATTTATAGCGTTGGTTTTGGTTTTGTGTTAAGTTTTAGGCTGAGGTGAATGCTTCAGTTTTGGTCTTTTTCTTAAGGTTAGGATTAAGGATATATATAGGTATAGAATTTGAGGTAGAGTTAAGATTATTATTATTTTCATTTTTACTTCGCACTTTTTTTAGTACATTAATAAACTTCCTATGAACCAATCAGAAAGCTCCTAGTATTTTTCTCAAAAGCACGTTTTCGACAAATCTTGCACAGTTTCTTTAAAAAATGTACAACTCTCTTTGGCTCAAATTTATATATATATATATATATATATATATATATATATATATATATATATATATATATATATATATATATATATATATATATATATACAGTGTGTACCATTATAAATTGATATACTTTTGCTATATATTCCAAAAATGTTCAAAAGATGTATGTCAATGTAACCCTACAATTTTTTCTAAAAAAAAACTAAACATTCATAAAATAGTTATTGTTCTTAAGAATCAAATAAAATTGTAATACAATTATCTTACAAACATTACAAACATTACTGAAAATGTTCATGTCTTAAACATTAATACTTTTCTCGTAATATTGCACATAAAAATGCTACTAAATATAGAGACAGCTGACTATTTCAAGGTCTAAATAAGACCAGAACAATATAAGAATTTATTTCCTTACTCGCATCTATATGGACTGTACATATTAAAGTTATTAGCCTCCAAAGATTATAAATAAAGAAACTTCATTTTTGGTGTAATAGCTATACTTAATTAGAAATTTAAAAATTATTGTGTGTATTTTATTGTATCGGTTCTTGACCCACGTAACAAGTTTCAAACGAATATTTCAATTAGAAGTGCTCAAAAATTTGCTCGGCAGAATCGATCTATCACGAAGGACAAAACACGACAGACAGAGGAACCAAGTTAAATAAAACTTTGTGAAATGAAATATACACTCATGTTTCATTTCATATAATTTAGTACCGTTGTAATGAAAAAAAAAGCCATGTGATTTACAGTGTAATCTAAAGTAATATACTTTTCATGTATACCTTTTCGGATGCATTGTCCAGTCTCTTTATGGCAAGGTTTACTACAACCGCTGTCGCATTTTTTCTTACAATTCAAACCCCAAAATCTGCCAGGGCAGTCTGAATATAATCAATATTGTTTTTTTTTAATAATAATATGAGGCTAGAATGCAACTTTAATGAACAAAGTACCCCCAAATTTTTATTGAGAAGTAATGTGATCAAATAAGAGAGTATAACTGTTCGATACAAGGTATCAAGAAATACGTCATTTAATTATGATTGTTGATTGTTTTTCGGGCAAGCCAAGGAAAGAAAAGACAGCAAAAATAAAACGATTATACCATACATGAATATGCCGAGGTCTCATAAACAGTATAAATTTAATTCAACTGCTCAAATGACCGCTACTTTATCGTACGTGACTTAGAGTACAGTTATTTTGCTAAAACCTTAAAGACGTTTCTAGCAACGTTTGAAAAAGTAAGGCGGCACCTTTATCACTATAAATGAGGTTGTATGATATTAACCCATATAAAGGCGATTATAATAGTGTTCGAAATATGGTAATAAACAATAAGAACAACAGAGAGAGGAAGCTAAATTTAAAAAGCTAGTAAAAAGGAATATACACACGTGTTTTATTTCATGTAACTTAGTACGTTGTAATGAACATACAATATATTCCATAGATATAATAAATTTATGTATACCTTTTCTAAAGCATTGTCCAGTCTCTTTATGGCAAGGTCTACTGCAACCGATGTAGCATTTGTTCTTACAATCCAAACCCCAAAATCCGTCTGGGCAGTCTGAATACAACCAGTATTGTTTTCAGCTTTAGAAAATAAGGCTAAAATGCAACGTTTTAGAATAATGTATCTTAAAATATTCCTTGAGATGTAAAGTGATCAAATAGGAGAGTCTAAGACGAAATCCATTGCTCCAGGATTCGGGACAAGGAATAAAACAACACGACGTAATTTAATTATGTTTGTTAATTTGTGTTTCTGGCTAGTCAAGGAAAGAAGTGACAGCAAACAATAAAACGGCTATACTATACATGATTTTTTCGAGGTCTCATAAACAGTTTAAATTTAATTCATATTCTCAAATGATCGTTACATTATATTACGTCTCTTCGACGTTATTTCTGTTGCTAAAAATCTAAAGACGTTTCTATCATCATTAGAAAAAAAATTACTTTGGAACTTTTATCAATTCAAATGAAGATTGTTTGAGATTCACTCATATAACTCTGGTTACAATAGTGGTAGACAAATGGTAATAAACATTTTCCTAAAGATAAATCAAATCTGTAGTCGAACCTACCTCCAAATGCCTCAAATTCACATAAAGTTACGTATGAACTTGGATAACTTGACTGTTTTATTTGCAGAGCAGAAACTGTTTTTGGCTTTTCAAAGTTGATACTATAGACCGCTTGTGTTGGGCTGGTATCAGTATATATCCTTTCTCTATTGTTATTCAAATCAATTGCTTCCACAACAAACCCCTTTAATCTATCACTCTCGTCATAAACCATCTGATTCTCTGAAACCATACTCCAAAGTTAAAATTCTTTGTTAAGTCCACAAACGAATAAATAGAAAAACAAGATAAATACATGTTTTTTAAACACTTTTAGAAAAATATAATATGGCGATTTAATAACAATATAAACACAATATATATATTTCTTTTGCAAAAGATAAAACATAATTTCATACATATTGCTAAAGCAAAACACATTTAAAAAATACCTGCAAAGTTTTAATACATCGTGCTTTTGTGCTATTATTAGATTGATTTAAATGTGCAGTTAGTTTAATCATTAGTTGACAAAAGTGTGTACAGAAATTAAATGATTATGTTTGGTTTAGAGATAAGTATTTGTGTGATTGCAAACGTGATTTGCTTGTGACGCCAGTAAACTGAATCAATATTTACAATTCCCCTCCCCACCCTGACAAATTACACACAATCCAACTTTATTCACACATTGTCTAAAATACAAGATGTCCTCAATATTGATGTCACTAAAATAAACTTCATCAAAATTAAACGCAATTTTATCGAACAATGGCATGTTTCAAAAAATGTTTTTTCTTTGATGAAAACCATTAAGATTAATTCAGAATCCTCAACTCTGACTTCTTATTTCAATACATTATCATATAAGACCGAACCGTCTCCCCCACAAAGAGGTGCTTAGCGTTACACTTACATTGTTCAAAGTAGGAAATGTCATTTAACCAACTTTTGAAGGCTTATTGCGCTATTAAATTTATAATACATTTTTTTAATTTTCGAAAACCTGCTATGTACGCAGATAACTACTCCATTGGTGATAGGACAAAGAATCTTAGACAAAATATCTTAGAAAGAATATCCCAGACACAATATATCACGGAAAATTGATCTCAGGGCAAATGAACTGACGGCCAAAAGATATCACACCGAATTATATCAGGATAAATTATACCATAGACAAATGATCTCGGATAAAATATCTTACAGCGGAATATGTATAGTATTTGAGATTATCGTAATCGATTCTAACATTTTAAAATTTGACCGTCATACGGATTTTACTTAACTTTTTTAAACAAAATAATGGTGAGAAAAAGTTTGTCGCATAGGTTTGTCAAATTACATTAAACACATTAAAATAGCAATTAGAAATATAATATTCGTAGATTCAAACTGTATTTCGATAAACAAGATCATTGGGCTTGAAGCTCATAAAACAATCCTACTACGTTAGTTGGACGAAACTTAGATCAAAATTGATCACTCATGGGTATATATATTATAGAAAAGCTATAAAAAAAACAGTGATCTACCTCACTATTATGTTGAGTGATTAACTTACGCTCAAGGCTTTCATGCGGTAGTGTAGGTAAACCCATGCCCCCCCCCCCCCCCCCCAAATACGATCCAAGCGCGGGCAATGTTTAAATAACTCAGTTTAGAAAACAATGTCACACTTCTAAGAATATAGTATTGGTAACGCATTCTTGTATCCCCGCGACAACGCGCGGGGACGGGCACGCTAGTAAAATATAAAATAACAACATGTTTTTTTTAAATCAACTTTATAAAATATAGTTTGGAATAACTCATATAATGACAATTAAGGAAATTAAACTTTTACAAAAATGTTTATATTAATTGAAAGATAGGAGTCGGCGTGGTCGAGTCGGTAAAGCTCATGGTTGCTAAACCGAAAAGTCTCGAGTTCAAACCCTCGGGTAGATGAGGCTCGTTAGCTGGGGACAGCCACTCTTCTAGGAGAGACAACTCCAAAATTAAATAACTGCTGCCTTGTAGTTTGTTCTTGGTTGGACAAAGGCTATGGGAGCAAATCCAAAAAGAAAAGCAGGCTGAAATCGGAGTCAATGGCTTCAAAGGCGCATAACCAGTTGACACGTAACGCTTAATTGTGTTAGAGGCGTGGTCGAGTCGGCAAAAAGCTCATGGTTGATAAATTCGAACAAAGTCTCGAGTTCAAACCCACTTGCAGATAAATCTCGATCCCCTTCAACACTAATAATTAAGAACGAAGAAGAAGAAGAATTGAAAGATAAGATCTAACAGTAAATCACAAAATACAACGTTTTGTCAAATTTTGTTAGAGATGATGAAACCTACTATTGACTCTGTTATACAATTTGATACGGCTTATCGGGACCGGTTTTTCAAATTGAACTTTAAATGATGGGGCGTTGTCGTTGTCTGCAGTATGTGAAAATACGCGGTCGCAATTATTTGTATCACCATCAACAGCCAACTTTGCGTAGAGATTTTCATAGTCACTTGACTGGGTAGCATTTTGTTTCAATGCCAAATTACGACCTGTTACAAACAAATTAGAAAAGAAGATCGTTTTTATTTTCATTACCTAGATTTGTATTCTAAAATAATTTATTTTGAAAGATTAAGTTTTTTCTACAATTATTCTTAAGTAAGATGTTAAACAATAGACGTAAATAATTATAAAGTTAATGTTTTTACAATGACATCTTTGAATTTTCGCATTTATTTCTGTCTAAATCAATTTTGACTTAGTTGTTTATCGTCAGAAATATTGTATCTTCAAACAATTGAAATCTTTGCTCTACAGTTAATTATTCTCATAAGTAAAATATACTTTCTTCTTTTACAAAGCTATTATTAGTGGATAAAGCCTATTTCCTCGTCTAATTATGGGCATTTTCTTCAAAGAGAAAATCATGAAGATGGATGAAATTTGTTTGTCTGTATATGGTTTGGTTAGTATGTGAAATACTTGGATATGGTAGCAATGTTCATATTGGTTAAGAATTTTTTTTAAATATATAAATACAGGCAAAAAGAAAATTCTACAAATTATATAGAAATTTTCAAAAAGTAAATTAATAGACTTTTGAGCAAGTGTTTAAATTTACATCATACATAAAAACATCATAAAAACACATCGTAAAATAACAAATTCTCACACATTTGATATCTTTTGAACAACTATAAAGTTATCTTAACAAAGATGAACGGTATCAAATTCGATTGTTACGAGTCAGGTTTTATTATACTCCTTTCTATTAAAGATACACATTGCTTCACTTTAATTTTTATCTTTGGTAGAGAGTGTTACATCTTGCGTTGCTTATCATACTAATATATTATTAATTATTATAATTTATTGTATAAAACTTTAGATAAAAATAAGAGAGAGGACGAAACATATTCTGTCTTTATTTAATCAATTAAGGTAGTATAATGTTTTCTGAAATGACAATAAATTAAATTTTTATATTGTTTTTCTAAATTGTTTATCATCTGTTGTAATAATTTTATTTGGGCATCAAACAGTTTAATGTTGGTTTCAAATAATATTAGCTTTAAATTTGGATACAATGTTTATAAGTTATAAATGAATTATATGTTGTTAGTAAATTATGTCTATTTTAACGATGGTTTTCTTTTAGTATCGGAATATTTGCATATTTTTTAAAAATTATCAAATGCTACGTAATATTTATTATAGTTTTTAATTTCTTAATAGAGGTATTTTAATTTTAAAAATTCAAACTTAAATTATCCCACTACTTATGATTTAATGTAGAGCATAAATAGTACCGTAGGAAATAAAGATTAAGCAGTTCGATATTAAATTACCATGTTACTATTTTTTTAAAAATATGTTTATTACATTTAACATTTGAGTTATCAATCAACTAGTATTTATTTACTTTACTAGCAAAATCAGTAAAAATTGTTATGGTTTTAATTTTAAGAATGTTAATTGACTTACTAATGGATAAATACCGTATGTAAAATAAATATTAAAGTATTATTGAATGTAAAGCATTTTAAGGTCCATGTGATAATGTTAATCTTTAAACAACTAGTGCATGAACAGCTGGCTAACCTCTACTATAAATTAAATAATAAAATACACACCTCCACTGAAATAGACGGAGCATAGGTTGCTTGCATCGTCATTGCTTATACGAATTACATTAACCTGTACATCAGTTTCACAGAAGTAGTCAAAAACGTTTGCCTTAACTTCATAGGCTAATGTAGTACATCCAGGAATTGGTTTGAAACCTTTTATTTTGTGATCTATTTGAACGAAATTTTATAATTAGTTTCCATTTAGAGAAATACTCCGCAAAATAACCGCTCCTAAGAAATAAAATCCTTAATAAAACATGATGAAAAATAAATTGTAACTTAATCCCTGTTTGAACGTGGCTTAAAAAAAAATGTCTACCTTGTTTGTAAACAAATCGTATGAGAGAAGTTGTATATGTATCTCCGAGATATAAAGTCACATTGTCAGTTGTTGCGGGCAGGCAGGTATTATCATTGCCGTCAGTTAGTATGTTTTTGTTGGAATTCATCCCAAGTATATCAACTGGATGAAAATAAGTACGCGGTATATTATGCATGACTGTACATGCCTTTACACCAAGGTTCGGGAATGTAATGGCACACACAGACCAAAACACAAAATTTTTACACATTGAAACGAATGAATGAATTGAGTGGAATGAATAAATAAATAAATATATATACATGATAATTCTAATATTAATATTCATAAATTCAATAACCAACGCTATCAAAATAACACTCGAGCACTCTAGTTAGATTACTATTTTATCCAAACCTTAATTTATAGCAATATATCATAACCGATTGGTGCAAAAAGAAATGTAATGTGTCAATACGGTGAAAAAGAATTACCAATCTGGCTTTCAGAAAATTATGAACTGGGAAGTTTTTTTTTTTTTATAAATTTAAAGTAGCTAAAACCTTTGATAATGAGAAATAAGTAAGCAGGGCTCCGGATTATATAAACAGATGTATTTTAGGAAACCTAACACACTATGCACTTGAAAACCAATTGGATATAATTGAATCGAAAAACATGATTTGTATTTTTATTACAATACATACCGTATTGACATGTATTACCAAACCAGCCACCTTTACAATTGAAGCCAGGTTTACATTGACCATCCACTTCACACTTACTGTCCTGACAGTGACATGCAAATTGTTTGTTTTCTCCAATTAAGCTGTTCACTGAAAAAAAATTATACTGAAATTATTCTCTAAATCAGTAAATTACTTATTCGTGGTGCTTTTTGATTTATAAAAGTGCAATCATCGAGAGTTGCTGAGATGACAGAAACAAAACAAAATTTAATTACGCTATTAATGCAATTTTAAATTTATATCGTGGCTGAGCGATAGAGCGCAAGGCTGCTAACCCGATTCTCTCGAGTTCAAATCCGGGTCTAATTCAATATATCGTCCACCCAGTTCTAATTGTAACCTAACTCATGTTAGGGAAATTAAAGGCGGCTGGGCAAAGTTTTGACCACACCTTCCCCTTATATATCGAGGTGAAAAGTTATGTGAACTCTATTTCCTCTGCCCAATGGATTGCTATCTTTTTTTTATAATAATTTATTAATTTGCTTAAGAAAATATTTCAAAGTGATTCCTTATCGTTGTATTTCCAAATCTAGTCCTTAATTCCAATTTGAAGCAACATTTTATACGGTTTTTTCAACGTGTGACCAATATGATTTCTTAAAATATTCGACCCTGTTTTCTAAAACATGAGTTATTAAAATACAAAAAATGCCACGGTATCGCAAAGATGCGAAAGGTTGTGATGTATGAAACTAGGACCTGGATACACCATACAGTGAAAGTACTTTGAAATCTAATATACTACTAATTTCCTCAATAGACTTGAAAAGTTAGACACCTTATTTAGCAGAATTTGTTAAGTAGAATTTCACCCACAAACAAACACAAACACATTATCAGTCTGGTACTGTTAAGATAATAAGTATATTTTATTATATGGGTGCCGGGTAGACAATAGTGTGTGGATAACAATGGGAAGTTTTGTGTTAACACATTTTACAATTAAAAAAACTGATTATGTCGGTATTGTGTTCATTATATTGGGATATTACGTTATATGTTGTTATTTGCCTTTTATCAAAACGGCTCTAAGTCGTTGTCGGCCTTCTGTCTATATCAGCCTTTTCTTCCTGATCCTAAATAAGTTAGGGTAATGTATCTTAGTTTTAGATACAGTATCAGTATTTAAAGACAATGCGAAACTGCAGTACTTGTAGATCTTACAAATGAAGTTATACTATGCTTTATCAATAGGCCTACCTTCACATTGTCCAGTCTCCTTATGACAGGTTTTAGAGCAAAGGCCACTACATCTTTTACAGTCTAAATCCCAAAAGCCGTTATCGCAGTCTAAAATCACATAAAATTATATAATTTAGAAGTATTATGCAACATAAATATATACATAATGAATATATGTTTTGTGTATATATTGTATTAGCATCATATTATTACAGCTCTCGAAGGTAAATTGTTTACAAAAACACACAAAAAAGATTATACATGAGAGAATCAAAGTTGCTAGTCCTGGACTTAGTTTAACAAAAAAGTAAGCAAAGACTTTCTCTAATTTTTATTACCTTATTCATTGGTCAATTAAAAAAAAATCAAAGTCTTCAAAACTTCCGTTTGCAAACACAATCCTTTTTAAGTCTTTATTTGGAGCATTTTAAATTTTAATATTAATGCTTACCTCCGAACACTTCCAACTCACAAATGGAAATTATCGGCTGTGTTGCTGATCCTTTCTGCACGATCTCGATTTTGGTAGCTTCTCTCAGTAATTTTACGTCCAAATCATAAATATTCTTGACCTCACTTGTGTCTTTATATCGAAAGAGAGCGTTGGACCATGAATCAAAAACTGTTATCTCAAAGCCTTGTAAACGCTGCGCTAAATAGCTTTCTGAAATAGTGTAAAGATATTTTAGAAAAATAAAAGCAATGTCCATCGTTTGAATAACAAAATAAGTAATCGATGTACATTAAAATGTGTTAAAATTACTGCAGATACCAGTTACTTGCAACTATAATATTCTAAAAATGTAGACGTAGACATAGTAGAAGACCTAGATATAGACCAGAGTTTCTTCCCGCCCCCCCCCCCCAATTTTTTTATCGCCCCCCCCACCCCCCCCCCCCGAACGAAATGAAATTTATATAAATTAGTATAAATTTATATAATTTGTATAGAAAATATATACCCCCGAAGAAAGTCTACCGCCCCCCCCCCCCGAAAACTTCAAGCCCCCCCCCCCGGAGAAAAAAGTCTGGAAGAAACACTGATATAGACCTAGACTAAGAACAAGACGTAGACCTAGACCTACAGACCTAGACCTAGAGACCAAGACCTAGAGACCTAGACCTAGAGACCCAGACCTAGACCTAGACCTAGACCTAGACCTAGACCTAGACCTAGACCTAGACCTAGACCTAGACCTAGACCTAGACCTAGACCTAGACCTAGACCTAGACCTAGACCTAGACCTAGACCTAGACCTAGACCTAGACCTAGACCTAGACCTAGACCTAGACCTAGACCTAGACCTAGACCTAGACCTAGACCTAGACCTAGACCTAGACCTAGACCTAGACCTAGACCTAGACCTAGACCTAGACCTAGACCTAGACCTAGACCTAGACCTAGACCTAGACCTAGACCTAGACCTAGACCTAGACCTAGACCTAGACCTAGACCTAGACCTAGACCTAGACCTAGACCTAGACCTAGACCTAGACCTAGACCTAGACCTAGACCTAGACCTAGACCTAGACCTAGACCTAGACCTAGACCTAGACCTAGACCTAGACCTAGACCTAGACCTAGACCTAGACCTAGACCTAGACGACCTAGACCTAGACCTAGACCTAGACCTAGACCTAGACCTAGACCTAGACCTAGACCTAGACCTAGACCTAGACCTAGACCTAGACCTAGACCTAGACCTAGACCTAGACCTAGACCTAGACCTAGACCTAGACCTAGACCTAGACCTAGACCTAGACCTAGACCTAGACCTAGACCTAGACCTAGACCTAGACCTAGACCTAGACCTAGACCTAGACCTAGACCTAGACCTAGACCTAGACCTAGACCTAGACCTAGACCTAGACCTAGACCTAGACCTAGACCTAGACCTAGACCTAGACCTAGACCTACAGACCTAGACCTAGAGACCAAGACCTAGAGACCTAGACCTAGAGACCCAGACCTAGACCTAGACCTAGACCTAGACCTAGACCTAGACCTAGACCTAGACCTAGACCTAGACCTAGACCTAGACCTAGACCTAGACCTAGACCTAGACCTAGACCTAGACCTAGACCTAGACCTAGACCTAGACCTAGACCTAGACCTAGACCTAGACCTAGACCTAGACCTAGACCTAGACCTAGACCTAGACCTAGACCTAGACCTAGACCTAGACCTAGACCTAGACCTAGACCTAGACCTAGACCTAGACCTAGACCTAGACCTGGACCTGGACCTAGAACAAGACCTGGACCTCGATGTTGACTTTGATTTTGACGCTGATGTTGATTATGACGTTAATTTTGGATTGTATTATGCATTTCACATGTTTATTTTTCTTTTTCTATTCATTCTTAAAGTAATATAAACTTACATTGGAAATGTTAACAATTATTTTTTTTTATTGCAAACTTATATGGCCGCATTATTTCAAGAAAATGCATTTTTAACACATTTTCTTAAAATGTATAATAATATCAAGAACAATAACTAATTTTCTTCTTTAAAAAACAGAATCGGTAACCCAAATGTGTAGATCCCTATAAAAAACAACAATACTTTTCTGCAGTTCTAAAACTTCAAATTCATGTTATGAAAAATACTTGTAAACCGTAAAAATGTTAACAATTTAAAATCATCAATTTAACTTTTAGACAGCATAAATAGTGGTTTTTTTTAAATACAGTAATAAACTAATAAACATGGCCGGTAAATTATTGTTTCTTTCAATAAACGTTAAAGAAAATATATTTAAACACACCTCCAACACGGTTGAAGATTCTAACCCTGGTTACAGTCATAGCTGTGCCAAACAAAAGTTCAAATGAAGGATTTGGTTCTGTGTCACTGGTGTGTGAAAACACACGTTCACAATTGTCTGAAGTTCCGTCTACAGCCGTGCTTGCTGGGTATTCTGATGAGTAACTGCTAGACTGTTTTACTGGTTGTTTCAATGCAACATTACGGCCTTGTTCAGAAAAAATAGAAAGTAAATAATATGGTAAACAGTTAGGTTTTAGTTTTGGTTGGCGAGGGGTATATGTTAAATATGTTAAATATTAATTTAAAATGTTTAACCTGTGTAAAGTGTCAAAACATGGAGATTTTCAATTCATTTTCGTCTACAATGCTACATTATTTGATTTCATTTTATAACGCTATCTAATGTTTGAGCTAATTGGGATGATCGTAACCTGATACGTATAAAGAAAATATAAGAAAACATCACTCACCTCCGCTAAAATAAACAGAGCACAAATTGTGTAAAGTTTTGTTACTCAGTTTGATAACGTTAACAAACGTGTAAATATCACAGAAATAATCAACCACCTCGTTGTCGACGTACTTTCTAGAGCCACATCCAAAAGCTGTGTCTGGTGTAGTAATATCCTTTATCCCTGTTATTGTTATTTTTTTAATAGTCCATATTTATAACATGACTTATATTTTCAAACAAAAACTTACAAATATGTGGGTACTTAATTCTTACTTTTATTTTTCTGTACTAATTAACTTATTATTCGAATTTCCATTACTCACTTATGGTCTTCAATGCCGTACGCTTATGTATTCTAAATTCATTATGTAGAGATAGCGAACGGACAGAGATATGTAGAGAGTTAAAGGCAGATAGTATGGTAGAGACGGTTGGAGATATGGAGAGCTAGGAAACAGTTAGATAGAAGTAGTAGTAGTAGTAGAAAGTATATGGTATAGATTAGTTAGATGGAAGTAGATAATTGATTTGTGTAAATAAAGAATATTTGTATCTTGAATTGGAATGTGTGTTAGATTTTCTTTTTATTCACCCCTACCCTCAAAGTATTTAAAAGAAAAGAACTTTGTAAAATTAAAAACAGTTGTGTTTAATAAAATTATGTCAAATATAATT